GGCTTATGACTCACAAGATTGGTTTCTTAGCTGTAAAGGCTTTAAATTATTTTTTATTTTGTTAGCATCTCTTTCCAAATATACTCATGCATTATAGGCCATTGGCCATGAACACCATATGTCTTTTGACCTATTAATTTTGTTATCATTGAGTGTTCAATGAATATTAGCATCTCTAAAACTCATTTTTATTTGCCTCACTCTGGTTCTTAGTACTACGGGTGTAACTTTACTCTTTCAGCTAATGATTGTGTCTGTTCGTTAAGGGAAAAAGTGAGAAGATGCCTTTGTGCTGCTCAATCACAGCCAAATACTGCATTATCCACAATGACGACCAAAGGAGATAGCTCAGTTGACTAAATCTTCAAAGGAACCCTAAATTTACGTAAAAATAAATCCATTTTCAGGGAGAGAAGATTCGTTTTTACCTTGCCCTTGTTTACTCCGTAGCTGTTAGTAGATGTTAGTGCGGTGAGATGGTGAAAAAGCAGGGGAGCCGGCCAGCGTGGCCCAGGGGTTGAGCGTCCACCCATGAACCAGGAGGTCATGGTTCGATTCCCGGTCAGGGCACATGCTCTGATGCAAGTTCGATCCCCAGTGTGGAGCGTGGAGGAGGCAGCTGATCAATGATTCTCTCTCATCATTGATGTTTCTCTCTCTCTCTCCCTCTCCGCCCTCTCTGAAGTCATCAATAAAAAATTTAAGAAGGAAAGCAGGGAAGCAAGCAGCCTCAATGACGCGTGGTTAATGGGGACCTTGAAAGGGAAAGTGATTTGTGCTTCCAGGGCAGCAGCAGAGCAGGCGAGGAGGAGGCAGTGGAAGCCACTCCTGCCAGACAGCATGTGACAAGTGCAGCACCGCGTGCAGCCTGAGCATATGGCCGGGCAGCGCTGCCCAGGCCTCTTTGTGCCGAAGGCAAGGGCTCCTAGGGACTCAGACTTTTGTTTGTGCTGAAGGAGGCAAGCTCGATCCCCAGTGTGGGGCATGGAGGAGGCAGCCGATCAATGATTCTCTCTCATCATTGATGTTTCTCTCTCTCTCTCCCTCTCCGCCCTCTCTGAAGTCAATAAAAATATATTTAAGAAGAAAAGCAGGGAAGCAAGCAGCCTCAATGACGCGTGGTTAATGGGGACCTTGAAAGGGAAAGTGATTTGTGCTTCCAGGGCAGCAGCAGAGCAGGCGAGGAGGAGGCGGTGGAAGCCACTCTTGCCAGACAGCATGTGACAAGTGCAGCGCCGCGTGCAGCCTGAGCATATGGCCAGGCAGCGCTGCCCAGGCCTCTTTGTGCCGAAGGCAAGGGCTCCTAGGGACTCAGACTTTTGTTTGTGCTGAAGGAGAATGAATCTGCTCCGCAAACACTTGTAATTATCTTCTCATTGAAGAAGCATAAACTTGGACCTCAATACTGTTTTCTTGGGTAAATCATCAATCTTGGAAAGAAGTGGAATTACATTTTCTCTAGTTTTGCAAATGAAATGCTGGTATAAAATTAATGCATTTTTGGAGGGTTGCCACTCAAAACACTCATTTTTTTTTTTTAGGTTGAAGTATTATTTTAGGTTGAAATACTTCATTTCTCTCTTTATGCTACTTTTACTTTGTTCTATTTTCTTTCTTTTCCTAGAAATATTGTTTGTTTGAATTTTTACAAGTTATTTTGTTGTTTCCCTTTTTTTTAAAAAAAAATATGGTTGGTAACAAACACTTTAGAAGATATTAAAGAATGCTGCAGATTAAAGGTTCATAATTTGGTTTACCAACGTGCTATTTTTATATAATTAGGGTGAATTTATTCAATAGTCAACACATAAAATCAAAGATTTATTTCAGCTCCAGAGTTTTACAAATTATTTGCTTCACCAGATGTTCTGTTGTCGCTGTTTGTGTGTTTGTGAATATGTGAGTGAACTGAAGGCCTGGGGGCCAAATGGCAGGGTCTGCCCCTGAGGCTGAAGAGAGAGCCTGGGGCCACTGTGAGAATTAGCCCGTTCTGCCCGCACACAGGGAAAATGTCCATTTTCCTGTCCCTCTCATATCACATGGCACACGGCTTCGGCCTGGAGTCCTGGTGTGTGTCCCAGTGCAGCGCAGTGATTGAGAAAGTTACTCACATGCCCTGGTTCAGTGTGTGAAAATGTTTTTGTTGAAGCAACTTTATGTGTTCACTGTGTGTTAAATACACTTTTCTTTTCTTTTTTTTTTTTTTTTTTTTTTTACTAATTTTGTGCTGCTTGTTCTGCTTCTGTTTCAGGATGGCGTAGGGGTGGACGAGAAGCTGTCCCTGCGGCGGGTGGCCGTGGTCGAAGATTTCTTCGACATCATCTACTCCATGCACGTGGAGACAGGGCCAAATGGAGAACAAATTCGGAAGCACGCTGGGCAGAAGAGAACGTACAAAGCGGTAAGTTGCGAAGGCATGACAGGAGGACAAGGCGTGCATTTTGAAATTCGGTATTAGGCGTGCTTATTAAACGGGGTTAAAGAAGGATAACTATTCTATCTGTGACATAAATTAGACCATCTCATGGTCACACCCAACTTTTAAGCTATAATTTAATTATTACTGGTTCTGTTTTGGTCGTGTGTTCACCAAGTCTATTGTATATAATTTAAACCTGTCTCTAGGAGTCTTATATTGTATTCTTTAAATATACATAATATGTGGGAGTCCCAGTCCAATATGTTATTTATTCACTGCATCATAATATGGCTGGAACTTTTGAATATTGGTACTACCACTACAGTTTTAACATTCCTTCCCCTTCAAATCATATTAATGTGTTTGGGTAGTTCCTCTTTAATGCTTATAATCACATGGGTAAGAAAATTTTATGTACTCTTTAAATGTCTCCTTATATGAATACATTGTACCAAAGGGTATACATTTCTTACAGAATAGGTTATTAAAAGATATGTGTTATTTTTATAGATTTAATGCCCTGGGACATTTTTGAATGGATATATATATATATATAATGTTTATATCATAAATTATGTGAAAAGAAGGTTTAATTAACTGTTAAATTTTGAAATATATATTGTCAAGCTGGAGTTATATATTATTTCTAAAGGGTCTAATTATTACTTACTGTTTGATCTAGACACTTTAATCTAGCTTTTTTTAATTAAAATCATCTTAATATAGATATTTCATCCTTTCTAGGAAAATGGAACAGTAAGTTATTCTTTTCCAATATGAGCAAAGTGTATGTCAGAGGTACCTTATCAGCAATCAGAAGAATATGCTTTTTTAGAATTCTTATTGAACTTTGCTTTTGGCTGCCTTTATATTAACTGTTTTCAGCTCTATTGATACACAATATCAGTTTGGATCCATTTTTTTTTCAGATACAGAAAAATGTGTGAAATGCTCAAAGTTTCAGATACAGGTACATATGTTTGAAAATTAGCTACTGAGCATAAGAAAGAGCTTCTTTTCCATAACTATTTTTTTGCTATATTTCCAGGGTCATAGTGAACCCGTGTAGTTGAATAATAACCCCTAATACATGTTGTATTTATCTCTCCTTCTCTATGGTTTTGTTTCTTGGCTGTTTCCAAACTGCATGGTTTGTGGGCAGGCACTATTATAACTTTCCTCACATAATTCTGCCACATAAACTTTCTTTTGACTTACATATCTCAGGAGGTACTCTTATCATGACTAATAGCAGTGACCTACCTACCTTTAGGATATTTTTATGTCGACTAATATTCCTGCACATGCTCATTTCACCTTCTCCTAAGCCAGTTTTTTATCTCTGGATGGTCATAGGAAAATAATTGTATATTGATCTACTAATGTCACTAACTGTGTACTCTTATGATAACCTATTTTCATGAAATAACTACCTGAACTTGATAGGACTCTGTAAGGTAGACATACATCAGTTTAATTGTATTAAATGAAAAGCTAACAAGAAAGGAGTGGTTTCATTGTCTGTAGGAGGGTGGCAGCCAAATCTGATTAGATGCCAAAAGCAATTTAAAACAATTTAATCTTTCCAATGCACTAGATCGAGATCTTAAACTAAAGTGGGAACATGAGTCAGACCCAAATAGCTCACCTTTGTTTTCTGAAATGAAATGTGAGAATCTGATCCATTCCCATGTTGCATGCTAAAGACTCTCAGTATATTGGAAAGCATGCTTTAACATATGTTATTTTGCATTAACATTATAAAGGCATTTTCTGCAATTTGGAGTAAGGATACCAACTTTTAAAGTCTAAGCAGCATCTAAAACGTGATCTAATCCCTATTGAGAATATTCTGTTTGAAGATCTTTCTCTTTCCCAAATTTATTGTTTATTTTCACATCTAAAGTGTTTTCAACCTTTTCCTAATATCATGAAGGTTCTTTTTGGCCTAACCAATTACCTTCTGGTATCTCTATAGAGAATCCTAATTAGGAAACATTTCCATTTTGTGGACTAATAACTCATCGTAGAAAAAAAAACACCTGCTGCAATACCAGCAAAATTGTGTACTTGACTCTGCAGTGAACTTAAGTCTAATGTTAAAAATTAATATAAATGTTCAAGTAATGGAGCATAAAACTAAATGCAATTTGAAATGGAGTGGTGTTGGGTCAGAGTTGAGTTCTCGATACTAATACTAGGATTGGCTAGTTATTAGTAGAATTAGCTAGATACCTATGGCAATTGTAATGGTTCCATTAAGTTTAAGATTTTTTCTACTTCTAACTCATTAGCTCATAGAGCATGCATGATTATGTTTATTGACCTTTTTTTTCTTCCTTTTTTCTACATGGCCAAGAAACCATACTTATACAACTAATCATTAAAGCGTCTCAGATTGTCTTAATAATATTATCAATAGATTTAGTGATCATTTTATTTACTTTGCCTTTTTTGCAAATCTTTCTATGTTTTCACTCTGCAGGAAATGGTGGTTCTTTAATATCAGATTAACTTTGAATGCTATTTGTTTTTACCTATTTGCAGTATATCATTCCTTGAAATATCTAGGCATTCTATAACTTAAAGTTTATTGCAAATTGATTTGGCTGTAGATAAAATTGGAAAGTATATGTTCTATTACTCACGAGTTCTTTGAAAAACAAATCCACATAAAATGACACATGTTAGGAATATGTGAAGGCTACCATAGTTATTATTTTCAGACATTGTTGAATTTTAGTGTCTTAGGTACTTTCTCTGTATTCATCACTGTCTCCTCATTAACTGTGATTGGTCCATTGAATGTGTTTCTTTCGGTAGACTTGACTAGAGTAAACTCTCATTTTAACAGAGTGGAGACGAGGTGTGGATCATTCAATTACTAGTATACATATATATTTGAACATAAAATGCATTTTTGTGCAGAAAATCGAATGCCGGCACTTACAATTTGGAGAGTCCCTTCAGAATGAATGATGCAACATTATACAAAACTAGTGTGGAAGCTGTTTGTCTTCCCGTCTACCTCTTCTCAACGCGTCCTGAGCTCCCTTCAGGGCACTCAGTGCTCCTCGAGGGAGGGCTTAACGCTTGTGTCCACCACAGGCTCAGCACAGCTGCCTTTCCAGGGTTTTATGTCAGGGGCCCTTGAGAGATTCAGTTTCAATGCTCTTCCATGAAAAAACAAACAGAAAACTAGAGTAACTGGTGGAACTCCAGGAACTAAGGGGGAACGTTCGTGTTTTCAATAGAGAGAACAGTCTGCATATGTATGTGCATGTATGTAAACGACACCCCCCTTGTAGTGTGATGCAATAAGCCTGCGTGCATTGCTCACATACATAGCTGCCAGTAATTACATTCCTTTAATTCAGAGTGGCTAGTGTGCACTGTAGCTACAAGAAATAGACTAGAACCCAGACCAACTCAGTTTCAAATGTCAAGTCCAGCACTTTCTACCTGTGTCTCTTTGGGCAAATTATTTACCTTTTTCTCTCTTTCTGTCTAGAGCAGCGGTTCTCAACCTGTGGGTCACGACCCCTTTGGGGGTCGAACGACCCTTTCACAGGGGTCGCCTACGACCATTGGAAAACACATATATAATTACATATTGTTTTTGTGATTAATCACTATGCTTTAATAATGTTCGATTTATAACAATGAAAATACATCCTGCATATCAGATATTTACATTACGATTCATAACAGTAGCAACATTGCAGTTATGAAGTAGCAATGAAAATAATTTTATGGTTGGGGGTCACCACAACATGAGGAACTGTATTAAAGGGTCGCGGCATTAGGAAGGTTGAGAACCACTGGTCTAGAGGGAGATAAGGGTATGTGTGGTGTGGTAAAATAAGTGAGTTAAGATGTGTGAAGTGCTTGGCATCTGGTTAGCATTTGAATATTGTTACTTCTTCTTTATCCAGTCACTACTCAAGTTCCAGGTAGAAGGACAAGCAGATCAATAGCACAGGGCTACCACGGCCCTAATTATATTTTGGACGTAATTTCCTCTCCCTGCCCCCGAGCCCCCCCCAACACTCCCCACTCCCGTTTTGGGAGATACTAATGGCAATAACCTGTGCATGTTTCGTGTGCATCCTGTAGGTGGCACTATCCCTGGAAGTCCACCCTGTAACTTTTAGCCAAGGTTTGCCTGGGCTGAAGGAAAACATGAAAGCAGGCAGAGCCCCCGGTTAGGGGTTCTCTTGTAGGTTTATGAGTGTTTTAATGATTTCATTACACTTTTCCACAGGTTAATTCTGTTAAATTAATTTTCGGAAAAATTTAAAACCTGGCTCTATTTAAAGAATATGTTTTCAATATTTATTGAATATTTCTTTCCAGATACATACTACAGAAAAATACTATCTCATGCAGAATTTCTATGTTCCTGTCTTAAAATTAAAAAGGGAAATCTTTATTTTATTAGATCTAGAACACTTGACCTTAAAAGTATATTAGTATCATTTTTGTCCTTTAAAAAAAATAAATCCCTATTGGTTCATCATCTCTACTGCTCAGTAGGATATTATAACTTGCACTGGTTTCTGCTCACTTGTCATGTTAACATTCTCAGAATTCTTGTCAACATATAGGGAGATTAAATGACCAAAATTTGTAGCCATTTTGGTGTGAAAAAAATAGCACTAAACTCTAATCCATGAGTTCCAAACCATTAATTTAACCTTTATTTTTACTTTTTTTTTTTTTTTGCTTAGGCCACAGTTGTTTGTGACATGTAAAATGAGAGGGTTATAGTTCAGTTTTCTTAAAACCAATGAGAATGTGTGTGGGGCCATCACTGTGCTGGGGACACAGTGAAGATGGTAACCAATGTGAGTAGCAGGTTGGCACCAACAATGCAGCAAATAAACAGACATGGGCACTGCCGCCTTAATGTAGGTGGCGTTGTTCACTTCATGTTACTATTATAAGTTAGGGTGGCTTAAATCAATGACTGTTCTGGAGATCAAATAGAGATAAAACCTTACAATTATTCCAAATTTAAATGTGTTTAAGGACTTTCTCTAATATTGAGCTCCATGATACTGTTATACATTAAGTCAGTGACTTAGAAGTATATTTTATAACTAGTTCATCTTGGAAAGTTTATGAGCATAAAACACTGCTCAATTACATATATATATCACAGTACTTTTATATATGTTTTATGGTACAATTGTAGATCTTTTATGGTACTTTTGTGAGGTTCCTTTTGTTTGCTTTTCTTTTTTTATGGCTAGAGTAGATGTTAAAATACCATACAATCCCTGTTGGTGGGAGACCATGTCTGTTTTTCATGTCCCTGTGTCAGCACACAGCTCAGCAGAAGACCAGTCTCGTAGTAGGTCCTCAGCAAGTACCTGCCGGAGGAGTAAGTTCTCCTCGTCTCTGTCAGTCCTTGCCTTTGTGATGCCAGCTCAGCAGATAAAGAAGTTACCATAAATAGGAATAATGGCACCGAATTGGAGCTGTAGCCCAGGCCTGGAAAGGCCGGGCACTGCACAGCTCACATTCACATTGAACAGTGAGAGGATTTATGCCATTTCAGAGGCTCTGAATAAGGTAAACAAATCATTTAACACAAGTGCTTCCTGTGTGCTCTTCAGGGAAAAAATTTCCCACATTGGTTTATTTTTATCAGATACACACCCGTACCCGTGTATCCCACACACATATTTAGGTTTCACATAGGCAATTTCTAAATATTGAAGACAGCCATTACATTTAAACATAATACACATAATATTCAATCCATTTTTTCGTTAGAATAGTCCCATTGTTTTTTTGTTTTGTTTTGTTTTGTTTTGTTTTAAATGCTCACCCAAGGATATTTTTCCCATTGATTTTTCAGAAAGAGTGGAAGGGAAGGGAGAGGGGAGAGAGAGAAACATCCATATGAGAGATACCAATTGGTTGCCTTCTGCACCCACCCCAACAGGGCGGGGATGAGCCTGC